GTATACCTATACTTCTGGGTCCGTCACTCTCTTTGAGTGTGTCATGCGGGGCCTGGAGGGCGCATGGAGTGGGTCTTCCGTTTTGGGACAATGACCGTGTGGTGTTGTCAATTTAAAAGACAATATGCCGCCAGAATATGCACGGTGCACGTGCCCTGTTTCAAGCCAATGCGAACTGACTTCGCGGTAGATTTCATTCAGAGTGTGTTCTTCATTGTTGCGCATTACCAGAGTGTTTGTTTTTCGAGGACCATTCGCGCAATATGTATATATGTCGCTGCGTCTATTTTGCAGTAGAACACGAAAGTTCTCCGGTTGAGTTTAAAATGACGATCGGTTCACGCATGTGCGCGCACCGAGAGTGAGTTTATTTTGAGCGTTTTTTTTTTTTGTTTTGTATCGCGTTACTGGACATCGAGTATCCAGTAACACTCTTGAGGGGGGAGGAGTAACACTCTTGAGGGGGGAGGAGGCAACGATTGCCGGCGTGTTGTGTGTAGGGCAATTAATGCGACTGATGCAGAGCGCATAGCCAGTTCCTGACCCGTCAACTAGCGAAGCTGATCGGTTCACGAGCGGAGCCGTCAGGGTCGCCTCCCTCCTTCGGGACTAGAAGGGGAAGGCTTATTCGGAAGAGCGTCTGGCAAGAAGCAGGTCAGGCGCCATCGTCCGAGTTTAAGCCACTGTTGGCATGCACGCGTGCCATTGAGAATGACTCAGGCACGCGACCACTTGGCTGACCAAGACATAGTAGCGGCAGGGGGACGAGCATAACCTCCCCCGCGGTACGTTATTACCAAGTGTTGGCAGGATGTCGGGGCCCCTCGCTGTCGCATGCACACCTGGTAAGCGCACAGAGCCCAACGGTGTACTCACCGTTCTTGAGGAGGCTTCTACAAAGCAAAATTTAATGAGAGAGCTGACGGGGCTCGAGCATGAGAACGGCCGCTGACAGAAGTTGCCCGACGGAGGCAGCACGGCCTGGCATGAGAGAGAGTGTCACACGCGGAGAACCTATCCCTTTGCGTGTTTTATTCGGTAACGTGGTTTTTACCAATGTAGTGCTTGTTATGAAAGTGTTTCTGCGATTGGTTGTGATGACGCGAGTGCCAACATGCAATTGGTTTGTGTGAAGACTTTTTGTTCAACTGAAGGTTGAAAAGAGGGTGTTTGAATGTGAAATAGAAGAGCGGAGGTTCGGGCTTGGACTCGGGCAGACGTCTGAGGCTGCAATGAAGCGTCTCTTCACCGAACTACAGCTCTTCCTTTGCGCTGCCACCGTGCACTCGAATCATCGAGGGGACCCATTCCGAACCTGAAACATCTTCCTCCTTAGCTAGTGTTGAAGCTAGTCGAGGAGGACGAAATTAACGGACCTGGTTAAAACAGCGCATAAACCAATGCGAAGAATCGGTGTCCAACGCCAATACTTTCAAGTGCATGAGAGGATGCACACACACCTAAGAGTTCGTCTTGAAGCAGTCAAGCTGCATACATCAGCACAGATCGTGCTCCTCCTCAAATAAATATGCACTCATTCTGTATACTTCCTGTTCATTTTTTCACACTTATTAGAGCATAACGCAGTTGTGATTGTATACACAGCACAGGTAGGCAACTCAAAAGTTTGCATTTAGGACTTTTGCACAAATTTCTAATACTTTCGCCACAACTTTTCCAAATGACAAATTATTTTTTAGCGGGCCCTTGAGATTCGTTGCATTAAGATTTCACTGTACTCTACCGATAGACTTTCAGTAAGTGACAATCTGTTAAACGAAATATCTGCGTAAATGAAACAATTGCTTTTGATAAGACTGGTCTCATTCTTGCACAGCGGATCAGATTCTGCACAGCACATCACAATCTCGTTTACAAAATTACTTTACTTCGGAGAAATCGTCGCAATGTTGACGGCGCCGATTCCCGTTCCTTCAGTCATCGCCCGACTCGCCGCTGTTGCTGCTGCCATTTGAGACTTCGCTGCTCTGGAAGACGCAATCGTCTTCGGTGCCATCCAAGCAATTGCTGACGGCGCACTTTTTGAAGCTCTTCCAAACCATGTCGGCCGGAATCACCCCCTACGCATTCACGATCCACTGGTACAGCAGCGCAATGTCTGGCCTCCGCACCCGCCCAGTCGGTGTCAGAGCGTAACGGCCGTCGGCCATCCACTCGGCATACAGCCACTTCACGTGCGCCTTGAAGGGCTTATTGAGGCACAAGTCCAGTGGCTGTAGCATGGAAGTGACGCGACCGGGTATGATCACGACATCAGTGCAGTGGTCAGCGAGGCGCGCTTTTACTGCGTCAGTGCAGTGGCCTTGAAACGAGTCCAACGCCAGCATCGACCGCCGTGCCAACACGGCACCCGGCCTCTTCTCCCAGATTGTGCGAAGCCAGTTACAGACGAGGTCACCATGCATCCATGCATTATCTTCGATTCGCACAACAATCCCTGGTGGCAGTCGAGTGCTGGGTAGTGTTTTGCGCTTGAATATTATGTACGGGCACAGTTTGGTACTGTCCGCAAAAGTGCACAACATTACTGTGCAGCGTAGTTAGGTGTTTCCAACCATCATTACGCTTACATCTTTTGTGTCTTTTTCTGCAGATTGGTGTCCGTGGGCATCTCGAAGTACACGGGCGATTTATCAGCATTTCCCACCTGGGAGAGCAAGTAGTTGTGCTCCTTCCGCAGCCCGATGACGTAACGTTGATAGGTCGACAGCTTATCCTCGTGGGCATTGGGAAGCCGCTGGCACATAGTCGTTCACCGCTGAATCGAAAATCAGCGATTTTCGATTCAGCGGCCATGAATCGCTAGCCATGAATCGCTAGAGCCTGGCCATGAATCGCTAGAGCCATACATGGCTCTCACAAAACTCGCGTGAGATGTTCAACTCGCACGGCATCCTCAGCACTTACCTTTGCGTCATCTCCGTTGACACAGCGTGCCCGCGACTCCTCCGCTCAATAAATTTGACAAGTTGCGTCTCAAGGGGGTACGCACCAGTCTTCGGGCCATGAAATTCTTGCTTCTCCTAGCATGCAATTTTAAGAAAGGCTTTTTTTTTTTCGCCAGTCGCGAATGCAGGATTTGTCAATGTCATGCCTACTCGCAGCAGCTCTGTTGCCGATTTCTTTCGTAGCAGCTATAATCTTGAGTTTTTCTTTCCCGGTGAGAGATTGCCGTCAAGACCCACTTATGGTGTCTCACCAGACAAGGTTGACCAACGGTGCAAACTGGCCACACCAGACTCGGAGAAAGACGCTGTCGAATCGCTCTTGTGATGCTGTTGACCAAATCAAACAAAGCGCGCAAAAAGTGAATAAACACGCTACGGAAGTGATCTGCCTACGGCCTGTGTTGGCTTTTATTGGCTTTTCACCAGACGATGCCAATGGGGTTGCGGACTGCACGGGAGGCCATGTATTGCCGTATGTATTGCACTGCTTCCCGATTATTCGCACATAACCCACACCCTACTTTTCCAGTCAATTTATTTTTATTTTTGATGCGGGTTATACGCGAGAAAATACAGTATTTTACTGATCCCTTGATGTTCTGTATATCAAGAGTGTACTGTACTACCCTTTTCGTTTCGGCCACAAGAAGAAAGTACACTGGAATGTCGACGCAACAAATCTCAAGAGAATGTTGAAAATCATTCCTTATTTTGAAAAGTCATTGTATTGAAAGTATAGAACATTTGCGCAAAAATCCTACATGCGAGTTCGTGAGTTGTCTACCTGTGCTCTGTATACGATCACAACTGCGCTATGCTCTAATAAGTGTGAAAAAACAAACAGGCTGTATACATAACGAGTGCACGTTTATTTGAGGAAGAGCACAATCTGTGCTGATGTGGGCAGCTCGGCTGCTGAAAGACAGAACTCTTAAGCGTGCAAATCCTTTTAACAAATTGTGAAGCTTCAGCATTAACTACCGATTCTTCATCTTGGTTTGCATGTATTGTGTTAATGTCGTCTTTGCTCTCGCCGTCATCTTCTTATCGGAACAAATCTTATCGGTCTTATTGGTCGTCAGCTAAGGTCACATGCATGCTTCGTTGTCGAACTGTGCGTAGTGTTCGAGCCATGCACGGGTAATCATCGGCGACTTCATCTTATAGGTCACTCGCGTCGCATTTTTCACTCTGTTGTAGCATTCCTTTGGTGCTGCTTCCGGAGCTCATCTTAAACGTTCAACCTCTAACCAAAAAGCTAGAAAACAGCCGTATAACAAGCATGCAGGTAAAGCTGGCCAAGGAAAACAAAGGCAACGGGCCAAAAAACAAGTACTACTAGGCGATGATGATGGGGATAGAGCTATTGCACATTGAGAAATGCACGGGCGTTCTGATGATGATGATAATAATGCCTGGTATGAAGATGGGCACTATTTTCACAGCCACAAGTAACTCTTTAAGATCACTATTAATTATTTTGAAGTGTTGTAAAGATATAAGGGACATTAAATTTGATGCGTTATTCTGAAACATTTTGGTAGTCTGAAATTAATAGTAGCGAAATATTTTTACATTAAAGCAATAGACATTTGGAGGGGGAATTTCAAAACAGTCGTTAATCTGAGGTTCGATATAATGACATTTGACTGCATCAGGCGATGATGGCGATAGGGCTGTCCCACATTTGAATAGGACGAGCAGGTAGAGAAATATGCTGGAGTTCTGATGACGATCATAGTACAAGGTGCGGAGCTAGGCACTATTTTCAAATCTGGGAGTAACTTTTTAAAATCGCTATTCGTTATTTTGAAGCATCGTAGAGATATAAAGAGGATAAAGTTAGATAGTTTTCTTCTGGAACACTTGGCATTTTGAAATTCGTAGAAGTGAAGCAGTATTACATTAAACCAAGGGGCATTTAATGGGGGCAAACTTTTTTTTAAAAATTGTTAATCTGAAAAAATCGTCAAACTGAGGTATGCTTTAGCGGCATTTGAGTGTATTCATAAATGTAGAGATGGTGATCACCTGTCAAAGGTGACACCCTTGCCAACAAACACCAGAGGTCCTCCCGCCACAGCTCCTGGCCCCTCGTAGTGCAACTCCAGAAACACAGGCGGCTGATCCGATCCCTGTGTGACACTCAGGAAGGATCCCATCTTCTGTTCCTCGATCCACTTGCGGTCCCTGAGAAAGCAAGACAAAGGGCACACACCGTTAACACGAACACCAATCACAACACTCATACCTGCAAAGTTCAAGGATTCTGAATCCAGGAGATTTCCACAATGAGGGGGGGGGGGGGGGGGCATTGCACAAAAAAAACAAGAACATACAAACAAACAAAAAACATTGTGAAAAACAAAAGGGGGGTGGGAGGGGGTCTCAATCGCAAGAACCAACAAAAGCGTTGCGGTCTTATAGTGGCTAGGAGTGGCCGAACACACGAGGGTTGAGTTTGTGACTAAGGTGAGATTCTCAAAGGCTCAACACAAGAGCATAATCTATTTCAGTCAAGACAACTTGCATGTGTCTTCCTGGAAAACACATGATAGGACGGGACGGCGCAGCTGGCTGCCGCAAAAGCGCAGGTCAAAGCTTTGCTCACTACTAGATTCTTTTGACAAGAAACGCGTCTGGCCCCTTTTTATTGCGGTAGCAATTATATGAACAGTCCAGGCTGTTTTTTCTTTTTTTTGCCGCCACCACCACCGCCGTCCTTCGTCCTTTGCAGTATATGTATACGTATCGATATATGTAAACACTTAAAGAAAAAAGCCGCCTAAGCTCGGCGCCGAGCTCGGCACGACGCGCCGACGCGTGCTTATCTCTCACATGTATTTTGCCCCATGAATGGATGCCTGTGCGTGCGCGCTTATCCTTTGGTGGGGGAATCGAGTGCCTTTGGGATTCACTGAAACGAAAGCGTTAGTTGACGGGCCCACAAAGGTCACTTTGGTCTCTCCACAGGCCCATTTTGCGAAAACAGCGCGCTTTTCATACACAGCGAGGTATAACAACTGGGACACTTGTTAGTTTGTACTCATCTGTACCTTTGATTACGTACTCATCTGTACCTTTGATTACGTATCGTGCATCGTTTTTGTTTAAACAGCGCGTTACGTGTCGAGCGGTAAACGTTGTTGGTTCGCTCTCGTTCTGCGAGTATCGTTTTCGTGCGTCATTTGTGTGTGAGCAGCGCGCTGCACGTTTCTATCTGCTTGCCGTTCTCAGCGTTACACTCCAAGTTGTTGCTGTCGCATTTATTGCTTTGCCCTTACGGCGAAACTGTAACTGTTTTTTTTTAATTTTTACGTATTTACTGCATCTAACCTACCGTTGCATGCCCTCAGAGCTCATAAATCGCTATCACGTTACCCCGCGGTTTTGTGCGCAGCGGTTGCGGGAAACGGTAGTTCACTTTACAATCCCCATGCCCTTGGCTGCGCAAGCGCCTTCAAAACTAAGTCATTTTATGCCATCTACGATAGCATCTGCCGCAGTTTTGTCTGCAGAGTTTGCGGAAATCAACGTTTCTTTGACTGGTTGAGCGCAGACTTTCGGGGTTCTGTCAGTTACATCGTCGCCATACATGATCGTGTCAAGGGCTACCGCGGTATCGTCCACAGCGGTTCTGGCAACGATAATCACACGCACTGTAGAAGACGGTGCGTGCTTCGATCGCACGCGTACTTTTGAAGCTTCGAGTACGCTGCTCTCGGCCTTCGAACCGCAGTTTGCGGAAAAAATTTCGTATCACCCACCACGATTAGGAAATGTGTTCGGAGTATTCAAATTGAGGCCCAATGAACAGTGAAATTTGGCTGGCGAAATTTAAGAATTCGTACCTGCTGCGGTTTCGCATCACTGAGATTATACTGTACGTTTACATGAACGCCTCTAATACTCATTTATAATAAAATAGGGTAGGTCCGAAAATCCTAGAGCAGATTGAGCTGCTTTTTTTGTCAATGCGGCCAGATGACGCACAGAAATTTCAATTCGGGGAGATTTTTATGACAACTGTACAACCGGAAAAAAACGGTCAAAATCCGGGAGCCTCCCGGCCAATCCGGGAGACTTGGCAGGTATGCAACACTTGTTTTAATGAAGACACCTGATGCAAGAGAACAGGACAAAGTAGAGCCTATAAATTTATTTGAACAATGAACACGTGACCAGAAAACTGAATAACGAACAAATTTAATTCTAGAGAAGCCCAAACAGCAGCTGCTTGTTTCATTTGCAAAATACTCGTCAAGTGGCATAACTTGTTACATAGGCCAAATCACTTTGTCATTGGCACCGTTTCATCAGCATCACTTGGTGTCACAGAAATCCCTCCATGTTACACTGGAAGGCACAAAAATCTTTGCACAGATAATTGAGAAATCTGATAAAGAGAATTTTTAGAGAAATAAAAAATTTCATCTATTTGAGCAACACCAACAGTACAAGAATATTCACTTACAGTTTTCCTTAGTGTTATGTGTCCCTGACGTACAGTGCTCAGCAAATGAAACTTGACAATTGCCCAGTGTGATGGGCGGCACATTCTTGCAACGCTGAACTCTGGGAGTCTAATGCTGCCACAGTGCAAGAGCAGAGCTCGCTGTTGTGCAGCTACATGAGCAACTTCAATGTCACTAGCAGCTACTGTGAGTGCAATAAAGCACTGGCTGTCATTTGAACTGCTCCGGCAATGTCCATTGAAATTCATGATGACCAAAACCATGGAGCCTTTTGTCAGCCCATTATGCTGCCACAGTGTTCTGTGTGCTATATGTGTGAAATGCAAAAGTTTTGACAATAACTGCACTACCTTAATCAAACAGGCTGTGTTACACAAGTTCAACTCAGAACTACAGTAAAAGCTCGTTAAATTGAACTCGAAGGGCCCTATAAAGTTGTTCAAGTTAAATGGAGTTCCAATTAGCGGGCAGACACTAGAATAACCTGACATTGTGCTACACTGCACGGGCAGAACCCAAACAAGCCACCTATGAACTCATTATGCCTAAATAGATGCTAATACATGTTTGTTTGAGGTGAAGTTCATGGCGCTCTCGACAGCGAACGGAATTCATCAGTCAACGATACGCCGGAAACAAACACCAGCATGCATTCATGCGAGCGGTGAGCCTGAATGTCGAAATACACGATGCTATTTATTCCCCTAAAAGAAGTTTATTTAAACTGTAGAGTTTATGCTATCCAAATGAAGGGTAACTGATGTCTCCCCTGTGCATTCTCTGGACCCAAATAAGGTTAATTCAACAACATTGAGTAATGTTCACTTGCTAGCATTTCTTTCGTTGGAACCCCATTAGCATCATTTGTAGCTTGCCTAAGAGCTCCAGCACAGTATGCACTTGTTTTGTAGTTTTGCACGTCTAATAAATTTAGTTTGGTTTTGTCATGCAACGTATTGTGATCACTCTAAGCAGACTTCTGCATGGAGCGAGGAAAACCGGCGACCCCCAGTTTGAATTATTCATCATGGATACCAACCTGTTCACATTAGCAGGAGTATTCTCCGATAGAAATACAGAGGGCTGTGTTAGGGCCAGGGCGTCACTTCCAATTAACAGTAAGTTCGAAGCTATGACTTTTTACTGTATTTGCCTACATGCACGTTTCTCTTCCATTTGATGACAGCATTGACAAACATGGCTTACATATATATTACTCGGTAGCGTGCGGACCTCAAGAACCCTTTAAAAAGACCCTGCATGACTTTTCCCTTCCTGGGCAAAAGCCTTCACATCCCCAATGACAGGTTGAACTTATTGTAGACATCAGCTAAGTACATAATGTTGGAATGAACATTGCATAAGTAAACTTGCAATTTTGATAGATAGGTGGACGCAAAACTTTATTGTGCAATTTTTATCAAAGCAATATATTTTGTATGCCTTCCTTAATACAAGTCTACTTTGCCTCGACAATACAAGCCACAGAGAATACTACTTTCACCAGTACTCATTGGCATTTTATACAACATGTTCTTAAGCAGTACAGCATTAACTGGCACAAAATTCGGCTTTTCCAACACCCAGTGTTGTTCTCACACAGCACAACAACAAATATGCAAACTAAAAGACAGGGCGTGCAAACATGGACACAAGGAGGACGTAGGGGGAAAAGTAGGCGTTTGTGGTGTCCCGACTTTCTTCTGGTGGCCATGTTTGCATGCCCTGTATTTTTAAAAGGAATACGCATCAACTAGCTCGCTCTCTATTATTCTACGCAAACTAAGATACAAACCTGGCAATGACCTTGACTCCCTTCTTCTCTAGAGCCTCGGCCGCTTCTTGGGCAAAGCGCGTGGGTGTCATCATGTTGGCAGGCATCTCGGACAGCCGTCTCGCCAGGTTCTGTGCCGCAGACTTCTCCAGGCCTCGAGTCCACCTGGCACGACAAGCATGCACGATCAGGCACGATACCTTGTAGCTAGCTAAATTACTCTGACAATGGCGTCTATTTACAAGATCTGGGAATGTAGACCTACACGCTAAGAAAAAAGCTAAGAAAAAGGGTATAAAATTTTCTCGTACAACGATATTCACCATCAGGCTCGCCTGAATTTCTTTCTTGGAAACTCGGCACTTGCCCCTTTTTAATCAAGAATGTTTTGTAACACTGATAACATACATGTATAACATGTAAAACATACATAAAATAAAACGCATGTCATTCGTGACCTGCAAATACCAGGCTGGCGACGACAATGGAAAGAAAGGCATGCAAGATAAAAAATCATAGTTGTTGTTAGACAAAAAGACACTCGTTTCACCAACTACTTTTTAGTTCAGTATATAAAACAACTTAAACCTCAGTGTGTCCTATGCTGATGATGATGATCGTCCAGGAATGATTGGCACCTGCCCAATGATTGGCACCTGCCAGATGGACAAGACAGTTGAATCAAGTATGATCTCGTACATAATGACGACACCAATTTGAATGAATATTTGTTAGAAGTAAATATTGATAGTATGCTCAAATTCAGAGGTCTTCATCTTTTTCTGCATCTATTATGTCCTAACACTTCGTTGCTAGCCACACAGATAAGGCAGTTAATCCACATAACCAACCTGCCCCTTCAATGTTTGTGGATAGTAAAAATTGAATTGTCGTTTAACAACGGCTCTACTCAGAAGCCGGGACGTGATGGCCGGCCTTTGAATCAAGTTGATGCTAAGAACTGAACTGCTTTCAGTCACTGGATTAATGCGAGCAAATCTAACCTTTGAGAAAGAGCATCCGCACGAGCATGAAACCACAAGGTGATCTGAGCTGAAGCAATGTAGAGGACAAGAAACGGCCACATTGGCATAGGTGGAAATATATTATGCATTAATTTTAATCAGATTCAGGAGCACACTAAAGAACATTGAACGGTAAAAATTATTCTGATGTCTAGTGAAATGCCCCCCCTTGACCAAGTAATTTTAAACATCAAAACCTATAATTTACTTCCTTTTGTAACTATATTGCCCAATCTCATTCAGCCCTTGCACTAATGCTGCTGCAGTTTATCACTGACAGATTGATGGAGCTATAACAGAGGGCCATACAAGACTTGTCCTCTTGGGTAGGCTGCCAGTGTCTTTGAATATAAAGTTTCGCGATTTTAAATTTTACTTAGCTGTACAAGGCATAAACAGAAATAGACTGCAAAACTTTAGTGTTCATTAATTTAATGCCAGGGATTTTTTACTAGCTGGAGTGGGTAGGCTGGGAGGGCAGCTATCATGAGATACTAGCAGCATCTCTGAACCCTTTTTTCAGCCTTTTAACTCAACCAGCCAGAAAGATATTTATACTAGTCCTCATTGGTCCCATCATGGTTAAAAGTAATGGACGACAGCTGCGTAAATTTTAAGATATACAGGAGAGTAGCAGATCACACTAGTTGGTTCATAACAAAGCAGAAACCAACCGGAAGTTGTAGAGACTTTGTGTTTTTTTATCTTGTGTCTGTCATGTTTACTACATGCTGTAGTGATGTTTGCTCTACATTATGCACCAGCCACCTTACGTCCATTGTTTGACTTATAACAAGTTGATCCACATCGAAATGCATCTTCAATACCAAACTCGCCTGAGGTGTACCTGAAGAAAAACTATCAAGTTGGTTTCAAGTTGTGCTGTGACATTTGTTCTTTCCACATACTCATGGGATATCAGCAATTTGTCTTTGAAAGCAGAACTTCAGTTGACTCTTCTTTTTATATACCATCACACTATTGTGGGCCTTACCCTTTTTGAAAAGTTCTATTCTCCTTTCGAAAGTGTGCTTTCTATTTTAGCCCCTGATGTGCACATTCAGCTGTACTAGTCATCCAAGCCAAGTTGCGAGTCAACATGCCTGCGCATTGTAATTTCCGTCGTCACTCTTTTCTCCCCAAGCCAGTGACGACTTGCTCACAACTGCACTCATCAGGTGTTATTGGCCAGTGGTGGGCTTTATGGCTGTTGACATTGCCTTGTTCACTTTGTCTTCTTCATACCTTATATAACTATCCCATTTCATGAGACCTTTGACGTAACTAAGTCATATCAAATTCAGCCCACCTTTTTTTCTACCAATTCAATCTTAGCTGAGGACCAATACTTTATCATGAGATCAATCTTTCATTGTCCTGGCCCTTAAATTAGTCGTCACTGAGTAATTCAAACTAAGTCAGTCATCTTTCATGCACCTGATCCAAACATTGACTGAAATAACGAATCCAGTAGCCGCAGCACTATCTCAAATCGGGCAACATTTTCATTAAGGTCAAAGCAGCCCAAACAACTAAGACGAACAAAGAGACATGACTGTGTCGCTTGCACTGCTTTAACCATAATGAAAGCGTACAAACTACCCTGTTGTCGACCTTGCTTAGGTATCAGGGTAGGTGTCATGAAACGATTAAGCATTAAAGAGCGAGCTAGTCGACACATGTCTCAATGTACCGATTGTAACATAGGATTGTAGCACGGGACATAGAAGGCACCCATGCTCATGTTTTTTTTCTTCATCCCATGCCAGTTAATCCCTTCTACAGCATGTGTCCAACAAGCGTTTTCTCTCGTCGAAATCACCTTGTGTTTTTTATACACCCCCAGAAAGATTTCATCACGAAAACCATCGCTCAAGATGAATTATTACAGCTCTTATCTGATTCTCACAAGAAACTGCATGTTCGAGAAAATTTGACAGAAAATTTTCGGCTAATGCAATATGATATGAAGATGAAGCTGACAATGTAGCCAGAGGTAACCTGACCAGGATGATAGCTACCACAAGGTTGTGCCCACCTGTGTTGTGCTGTGTTTGCACAACAGAACTATGATAACATAGAACTCAGGCTTGTTACCATTTTTTTTTTTCAATGTACAGTAACTTGTAATGCAAGAAAAAAACATAAGGAAGAAAACAGGACACAGCGCTACTCTCAGCTGACCAGTTGAGAGGTCAGCGAGAGTGGTGCTACATCCTGTTGTCATTTTGTTGAACTAAAAGTTACTATAGTCAATCACTGACTAGCCAGTCAACTCATCAAGTTAAACCATGCTGTTTTCAAAGAATGCATTATTCTACTTGTTGAGTTATTTCAAATAAATCATGTCATGTGTTTATGCCATTCCAAAAGGTCCAACTCATTTCACAACAGTCCAGTACAGTAAAAGCTCGTTTGTTTGGATCTCGTTAACTCGGAAATTCGGTCAACTCTGATACACAGCGTGGTCTCGACAGAACTGTGTGTATTTAAACGGTGTCAAATGCTCGTTAATTCCGAATGATTTAGGCGCGCATCCGTTAACTCTGACGATTCCAGAGAGGGCTATCCGGGCTCCATGCTTTCAGTAATAGATTCCAGTTACTGAAAGCATTGGAGAAACCGAAACCGAGCGAACAGCAGCAGAATATGATCATGATAATAGTGAATGAGGAGGGAAGTGGCCAGGTGGCGCTAGTCACCACCCGGCAGAAGCGCTTGGGCCACCGGTGCACCCAGTGTCTGCGAAATGCGCCGCACATAACGCCGCACGGGACAGTTTGTGCAGCCAGCACAACCCCAGTTGTCTGTGACGCCTACGCTGCTGATTTATTTGCGTAGTGACTTCGCGCATAGCGTGTGACACTCGGGTACACCAAAAGAGGACTGTTGGGCGAGTTGGCGCTTTGATATAGAAACCGTCGTTATGTTCTCAGGCTGTGTTTGTGCTCGTTGATAATGGTGTAGCCGTTGCTGGTTTGCTGATTGATTGATATGTGGGGTTTAACATCCCAAAACCATCATATGAGTATGAGAGACGCCGTAGTGGAGGGCTTTGGAAATTTTGACCACCTGGGGTTCTTTAACGTGCACCCAAATCTGAGCAAACAGGCCTACAACATTTCTGTCTCCATCGGAAATGCAGCCGCCGCAGCTGGGATTCGATCCCGCAGTCTGCGGGTCAGCAGCCAAGTACCTTAGCCACTAGACCACCACGGCGAGGCGTTGCTGGTTTGCTGACTGATGATGACATAATATCAGAACTGCTTGAAGGGGATCAGAATCACTGTTCCGATGATGACATTCAAGATCAGCCGACGCGACAACGCACCGTGCAGGAAGCCGCCGAAGCTCTCACTGTCCTCGCGGAGTTCTGCATCAGTTCTCGCGACAGCGAGCGTGCACACTACCACCAGATAGGGTTGAAGAGGATCGTTCTAGCACTAATTCTGACGACGAGGCAGACTAAGTTGACACAGCTTTTCATAGAATAAAGGTATGTCTGTGCCAAGTACATTTCCCTTTTGTTTTGATAATTCATCCGATAATCCCAAATTCGGTTAACTTGGACATTTTCAGTGGTCCTGTGAGATCCAGTTAACGTGCTTTTACTGTACTAGGTGGTTTGCTTAGTATACGCCACCATCTCAGTTGATATTGATGAGGAGTGTATTGATAAATGCAAGACAACTGACTATCACCTTTACACAAGACGACATGTTTTGTTCATAGCAACAAAGCACTGCCTAAGGGTGATGATGATAGACATCAGGTAAATAAAGGTGAGTTTATTAAATTGGCTGGTTTCATAACTTTATTTTTTCCAGAATCCAAGATATCTTGTTTTTTCTCGTAAAAAAAAGGACCACTAGAGTGCAATGTTGCTTTGGTGCAGACTTTCTACTTCTGGATGCAAATAACGGAGGTTTGCATAATCTTACACGTTACAATTGGATGAAACACCAAGTGTGAGTCAGTGGTATACAGTAAAACCTCGTTAATTCGAGCTCGGTTATTTCAAAATCCCCCTTAATTCGAAGGATTACCGCGGTCCCGTATTTTTTAATGTAAGTTTGAGTGGATAATTTGAAGCGGCGGCCGACACCAGTCTGGTTAATTCGAAAACTTTGAGCGCCATGT